CGCTGCTGCTGGCATCCATGTCATACTACATTTATGGCGAGGTGATGCTCTTTGTTTTTCGAAGCGTATTTTGGGAGACGAGGGGTTGCGTTTTGGCGGGACGCGGCCCGCTTATAGGTAGCCTGAGGTTAGCCGCTGGGGTTTCCTTCATCTGTTTTCATCACGCTACTTCGTACACCTTCACTTGTCTCGCACCAATCGTTCCTTCTCTCCTTGCTAAAGGTTAGTGAGAATGGTGTCTTCCTCCTCCCTTTCGTCTTCTTCGAAGGCCGTGGAGACGGCGACTTCGTCGAATCCCGCCTCGTCGTCCGATGAGAAGGCGGCCCGGGCCCTTGAGGCCCTGATGTGGCCGCACGACCACGACTCTACCGTGGGTGAGTCGTCGCTGAGCCTCCTCTGGGATCGTTATGGTATCCCGGAGGAGTTCGTCCTTCATGCTCCTGAGCCCGGTCAACGGGCGTATGACCCAATTCCTAAGGGCTTCGCCCTTACCCTAGATGCTTTCGAGGACGGGCTACGCCTCCCCTTACACCCCGTCATAGTTTCGTGTATTTCCTGGTGGCGTATCTCCCCGTCCCAGATGGCGCCGAACTCATGGCGCTATCTGGTGGCGTTTTTGGGGGAGTGTCACTATGCCCACATAACCCCGACCCGTGCCCTCTTCCTTTCCTGCTTCCGTCTTACCAAGGGGTTGGGGGGCTACTATCTGTCCGCCCGAGCGGGTTTTCGGGTGAGCGGGGCCCCTTCCAGTAATAAGGGGTGGAAGGAGCGTTTCTTTTTCGTCAGCCGCCCGGGAGATTAGGGGTTTGGGATCCGCTGGGGGGCGCGTGCGATAGACAACACCGTCCCGGTTTTGGACGACGAGGGGCGCCGAGAGCTCCAGAGGCTTAGAGAGATCCTCCCGGCCTCCCGAGCCATCCGAAATATGTCCGAGCGGTGGTTGGCGGAGGCGGGTCTCAGCTCGGTGCCTCTAGGTATGCTCCCCGGGGCGGATTTTTAGGGGTTCTCTTTTCGCTCACGGGTTGCCTGCTTAACTGATTGTTGTTTTGGCCTTTTCTCGCAGAGATGGTGCGTCTCGAGGCCCTTCGAGGGGGCAAAACTTCTTCGGCTGCGTCGGGCCGTTCGCCTTCCGTCGCCAGGGCGGGAACGAGGGAGGCCCCCGTGGACGTCGAGGCCGGTCAGCCTCGGAAGAAGGCACGGGTGCTTCCGAGCGACGGTCCTGAGGTGGTCCCGGCCTCAGTGGAAGGTGCCGTGGCGCCGGCGGCGAGGGCTACTGCAGCACCGGCGGTCGAGGGCGTCATAGCGCCGGCGGACCATGCCGCGGGGAGTCAGGAGGAGGGCGAGGCTGGTCCGAGTGGGTGTGTGGCGATGGAGGCGCCTCACCAGCCCTCCATCCGCGAGCTTCTTCGTCTTCCGCTTGGGAGAGAGGACGAGCCTTACTTGGCACAGAAGGTGGGCGCTCTTCCGCGCGGCGCGGCCATTGACCCGTTAGTGGGCCGGTGGGACGGTCTCACCCGGGGCAGCCGGGTGTGGGCCGACGGCGATTGTGCGGCCAGGTTCGTCCGCGGAGGGCTGCATCCCGACATAGCTCGGGATTTGTACACTTTATCCTCCGAGGCTCTGCTTAGCAAATCCGCTAAGTCGCTGTTGTGGGCAAGTGTTGTCTCGTCCCTCTGCTTGTGTGTTTTAGGACTTGCCTGGTTTTGACCTCTCCCCTTCCCCAGGGCAACCACTATGCCGCCGCGCTGATGGATCGCGTCCGTGACGCGGGACGGGTCATCGCTGCCCTGAGTAGTCACAATGTCGAGCTCCGGAGGCAGGCGGACGAAGCTCGGGCTGGAGCGTGCCCTGAGGCTGTCGCGGCGGCCGAGCAGCGTGCCTCGGACTTGGAGGCGGAGGCGGTGCGCCTTCGATCTGAGCTCCAAGCATCCACAGAGCGGTCCGCGGAGTACCAAGCGCAGCTGGAGACGTCCGAGGGGCGTAATACGGAGCTCCAGATGAAATTAAGATTGTCGGTGGCCGAGGCTCGTTCGGCGAGGGCGGACTCCCTTGAGCTGCTCCGACGCCTCGAGGAGTCGCGAGCTGAGGCGCGGGGGGCTTCAGAGGCTCTTGATGCCGAGATCCGCCAGAGGCCGGGGAGGGACAAGAAGCTGATCGAGGACTACAAGGACTCCCCGGGATTCCAGCTCGGCCTTGTTCGGACCGGGCGAGTTTCGTACGAGTACGGGTATCGGGTTGTCCTTGCTCGTTTCAAGGTGCGCAACCCCGGCTCGGAGGTTGTGGAGGATCCCTTTGGTTCCTTCCCCGAGGACCTGGACGTCGGTATGCCAGCCGATGTTCCCTTCGACGACAGCCCGGATGCCCCCGAGGAATGATGATTTTTGTACTTTTTTGCTTTGTTTTGTAACCCGCTTTTTGAATAAACATGATCTTTCCCTTCTCCGGTAGACTGTCTGCGTCTCGGCACGGCTCTGTTTTTAGCCCGGTCTTTTTCTTACGGAAAGTATTTTTTGAGATTTTGGGCGTTCCAAGTCCTCGGTAGGGGATGACCCATCATTGTGGTGAGTCGGAATGTTCCGATTCTGATGACTTCGGCCACCCGGTATGGGCCTTCCCAGTTTGGAGCTAACTTGCCTCTTGCCCTGGTCGGGTCGCTGACCTTAGTCCTTCGCAGGACCAGGTCGCCTAGTTTGATGGGTCGGGGTCGCACCCTTCGGTTGTAAATCTTTGCGACCGCCCTTTTGTACGAGAGGGCTCTTACATGTGCGTTGGCGCGCCGTTCTTCCAGCAGATCGAGGGCTGCTCGAAGTCCTTCGTCCGAAGCCTTTTCGTCGTAGCTTCGTGTTCGGAGGGTGGTGATGGCTACCTCAGGTGGCAGGACATCCTCAGTTCCGAACGCGAGGCTGTATGGGGATTCTCCGGTTGCGGTTTTGGGGGTGGTGCGCAACGACCACAGCACGCTGGGGAGCTCGTCTGTCCAGGTCGATCGGGCTGCGGACACTCTTCTTTTGAGTCAATCCAGGATGGACCGGTTGGTTACCTCCGCTAGCCCATTGGTCTGAGGATGGGCCACCGAACTGAACCTCAGCTGGATGCCATGATCGGCACAGAACTCCCGGAATCTTCTGCCGGCAAACTGAGGTCCATTGTCTGTGATAATGGCCTTGGGCAACCCGAACCGAGTTACTAGGTTCTTCCACACGAATTTCTCCATTTGATGTTCTGTGATTGTCGCCAGTGGTTCGGCCTCGACCCACTTCGTGAAATAGTCCACCCCCACAATTATGTACTTCCGCTGTCCAGAGGCTGGTGGGAAGGGTCCGAGCAGGTCCAAACCCCATTGCGCGAATGGCCACGCGCAGTCGATGGGACTGAGCGGAACCGCGGGCTGTTGGGGTGCGCGGGTGTGCTGCTGGCACGAACTGCACCGCCGAACGTAGGCTTTGGCGTCCTGGCACATGGTCGGCCAGTAGTAGCCTTGACGGAGTATCTTGTGCGCCAAGGTTCGCCCGCCGATATGCTCACCGCATACCCCCTCGTGGGTTTCGGTTAGAACCATCTGGGCTTCGTCAGGCTCTAAACATCGCAGGAGGGGATAGGTGAAGGACCGTTTGTAGAGGCGGCCACACTCCACGGTGTACCATGCGTGCGTACGACGCAGGCGCCGAGCTGCGACTTCGTCGAGGGGGAGGGTTCCATCTCGCTTGAAGCGCAGCAACTCTTGTACCCACGTGGTCGGCGCGCCGCCTGGGGCTGTAGTTGTTATTTCGATGGCGCGGGCAGGGAGCTCCTCGACCTCTGGCCATGCTTCGGAGATCGGTTTCGACGCCAGCTTAGCTAGTGCGTCGGCTCGCTCGTTCTCCTCCCTCGGAACGTTAGATAGTGTAAAATAGCGAAATTTGGCGGTTAGGTCCCTTACCCGTGCCAGGTATTTCGCCATGGTCGCGTCCCGAGCTTCGTATCCGCCGTTGAGCTGTTCGGCCACAAGTTGCGAGTCGGTGAGGACGCGTATCGCGGCCACCTGCATCTCGAGGGCCAGCTCCAGTCCTGCCAGGAGCGCCTCGTACTCCGCCTCGTTGTTGGTGGCTTTGAATCCGAAGCGAAGGGATCGCTCGAACGAGCGTCCATCGGGGGCGAGGAGGACTAGCCCTACGCCGGCGCCCTTTGAGTTGGCCGAGCCGTCGACGTGCAGGGTCCAAGCTTCGGGAGCCTGCTCGAGATCTACGTCCTCCGGCTGTGTCAGCTCCGCAATGAAGTCGGCTACCACCTGGGCCTTGATGGCGGTCCTGGGCGAGTAGCTTATGTCATGTTCGCCGAGCTCCACCGCCCATTTGAGGAGTCATCCTGCAACATCAAATTTTGTTAAGACCTGCCGAAGGGGTTGGTCGGTGATGACCTCCACCGGGTGTGCCTGGAAGTAGGGGCGCAACTTCCGAGCTGAGAGCACCAGGGCGAGCGCGAGTTTATCTATCGGCGGGTAACGCTCCTCAGGTCTACTTAGGACGTGGCTGACGTAGTAGATCGGGAGTTGTTGGCCGGAGCTTTCCTTGACCAGGACGGAGCTGACTGCATGCTGGGAGGCCGCCAAGTAGAGGCCCAGCTTCTCGCCCGGAGAGACGGAGGCGAGCCGGGGGAGGCTGGCCATGTGCTGTTTTATTTGTTTGAAAGCTTCCTCGCATTCTGATGTCCACTGGAAGCTCTTCGGGCTTTTGAGCGCCTTGAAGAATGGGAGGCAGCGATCGCCCGATCGGGCGAGGAAGCGAGACAGAGCGACAAGTCTTCCGTTAAGTCGCTGCAGGTCTTTAACCGTCCGGGGAGACTGCATATTGATTATAGCTTGGACCTTCTCCGGGTTAGCGTCGATTCCTCTCTCGTGCACGATGAACCCGAGGAACTTTCCGGAGGTGACGCCGAAAGCGCACTTTGTGGGGTTGAGCCGCATGCCGAACTTGTATAGCATGGCGAAGGCCTCGGCCAGGTCGGCAAGGTGTGTTATGGCCTCTTGGCTTTTCACGATCATGTCGTCCACGTAGACCTCCATGTTTCTCCCTATTTGATAGGCGAACATCTTGTTTACCGTTCTTTGGTATGTGGCCCCAGCATTTTTCAGCCCGAACGGCATGACTTTGTAGAAGTACACGCCTTGATTGGTAAGGAAGGCCGTGTGCTCTCTGTCTCCGGGCGCCATCCTGATCTAGTTGTACCCTGAGTAGGCGTCCATAAAAGAGAGTCGCGCGTGACCGGCCGTTGCGTCGACCAGCTGGTCGATCTTCGGGAGGGGGTAGCAGTCTTTAGGGCATGCATCGTTGAGACTGGTGTAGTCAACACACATCCTCCAGCTTCCATTGTGTTTCTTCACGAGGACTACATTGGACAGCCACTGAGAATATTTGGCTTCTTCTATGAAGCCCGCGGCCAGGAGCCGGTCCACCTCCTCTTGTATTGCACGTTGTCGGTCAGGGGCCTGGCGCCGGGCCTTTTGTTTCACTGGGCGAGCGTCAGGTGGGATGTTGAGGTGGTGCTCCGCGATCTCTGGGTCGACACCCGTCATGTCCGATGGGGACCAGGCGAAGACGTCGGCATTTTCCCGTAGGAGACCGACGAGCTGCTCCCGTTCCCGCTCTGGTAGCTCCGATCCGATCTTCACGGTCTGGTCTGGTCGGGCTTCTATCAAAGGAATGTCAACGGTGGACCCCCTCGGCTTGGGATGAGGAGTCAGTTTTTTTCGTTTCCCGCGAATCTGCCAGGGGTGACTCGGTCCTGGCTTTCTTGCCCAATGATACGGCGGTAAGGTAGCACCGCCTGGATTCTCGGGGGCTTCCTGTGGCTTCCCCGACTCCAGCGTGAGTTGGGAATTTAATGGTCTGGTAGTAGGTCGAGACGACCGCTCTGACCTTGTTGAGGGTCGGCCGACCGAGTATGGCATTGTAGGCGGTAGGGAGGTCGACCACCAGGAAAGTGGTCATCACCGTTTTCGACTTCGGCGGGGTCCCCAGAGTCAAGGGCAAAGCAATGGCCCCCAGGGGTGATATTGAATCTCCCGTGAAATCGGTGAGCGTCGAGCACATCGGGCTCAGGTTCTCCCTGGCCAAGCCCAGCTTCTGAAAGGCGTCGAAGTAGAGTATGTCGGTCGAGCTCCCCGTGTTGACCATGATCCTCCTCATCTGCGCGTTGGCTACCCTAGCGGATATTACCAAGGCGTCGTCGTGGTCGGGTCACTCGGCAGCTCCGGTTGGGAAGGTAATCTCGGGCTCCGGCTCGTGCCCCGAGGCTTCGTCGGGGGCAGCTCGGGCATACGCCTTCCTGCCTGATGTGGAGCCTCCTCCTGATGCGAGGCCCCCGGCTATCACATCGATATGCCGCTCGACGGGGCCCTCTGGGCGAGGCGACTGCTCTTTGTTCGGCCGGAGGTACTAGCCGAGGTGTCCTCTGAGGATGAGCTCCTCTATTTGCCTCTTCAACTCGTAGCATTGCTCAGTGTCGTGCCTATGCTGCGATGAAATCGGCAATATCTTGATCGGTCTGCGAGCTCCCGCGGGTTCCTCATCGGGCGAGGGTCCTTGAGCAGCCCCTTCCCCTTCTCGTGTAGGAATATTTCAGTCCGGGACGAATTCAAGGCGGGAAGAGGAGGCCTCGGGTCAGGTCTGTCCAACTTTCGTCGGGAGGCGGCGGGTTGTTGCTGTCGGGGCGGCTCTGACTTGACCTTTTTGTGTTCCTCCCGCCTTCCAGCCATCCAAGTCTCCGCGGCGATAAACTGACTGGCACGCTGGAGCATCTTGGGGACCGCAACGGGGGGTTGCTCCACGAGCGACCAGAAGAACCTGGAGGGTCGCAGGCCTGTCATGAATGCCTGCATCAAGAAAGAGGGGTGAGCATCCGACAATCCACGGATTTGGGTCGTAAATCGGTTCACAAAATGGGAGAGGGGCTCGTCCTCCTTCTGGTTGAGCCCGAGGAGCAATGCCATGGATGGCTTAGGTCGGGCGTACGCTAGGAAGTTAAGCTCAAAATCCTTGGCGAGCTGGTCGAAGGAGGCGACGGTCCCTGGCTTCAAGCCGCTGTACCACGTGCGGGCCGACCCCCGCAGAGTTGTGGGGAATGCCCTGCACATCAGGGCGTCAGAAGTCCCGAATAGCGCCATCTGGGCGCGAAAAGCGGCTACGTGGTCTGTCGGGTCGGTGGTGCCGTCATACGCATCCAGAGAGGGAAGGCGGAAGTGCGACGGGATCGCCTGATCTTGTATCTCGGGGGTGAACAGAGATCCTTGGCATCCGTCCACCCCGAGCTCTCCCTTTGACTTGCGGACTTCCTATTGTACCTCGTCGAGCCTTTGACTAACAAGGCGTAGCTGAGCTCATAGGGCATTAGTCGAGTCGGCGGTCGGAGCCTCGGGCTCGGGTCGGCTCGTCGTGTCTTCTGCTTCTCGGCTCCCCGGCCAAGCTGCGGGGTTTTGAGGTGAGATGGGGAGCTCAGGGAGTGGTGCGTGAGTCTGGACAGGGGTCTCCTGTTGTGGCGAGGGCCGGGTCGCATGCGGAGGGGTCCGTTGGGAGACGATCGGGATGATGGTCTAGACCATGCTGGTCAGGGTCCGGACTTGGTGGGCGAGGTCGTGAAAAGCCTCGGGCGATATTGACGACGGGCCGGCGGGTGCGCCGTCGGGAGGTGACAAGCCTGGGTCATTGAACAGTTGCCAGTAGCGTTCCGACACCGCTGCAGGGCGTTCGTCGTGAGCTTCGTCCTGTGGGGGGCGTTCCCCCGAGGCGGGGAGCCCAGCGGTTGAGGACTTGCCGAGGTGGATTCGCTGGTCACCTAACATTTGGAGCCCTCCTTCTAGCGCCAGTCTGTTACAGTAAGTAACTTTTTAGCCGTGACCTCGGGGTCGACGCGGCTGGTTCAGGGCTCCAAATGGCTTGGTTCAGACGTGGCTCCCCCTTGGGATCCTGAGATGGCGGATGCAGTGGGCCTGGCTGGGAAACTCCGCCACGCCGAGTGGGCTCAGCCGCGGTCGCGTGCCTGCACACAGGTCGGGTCGGTAGCTCGGCCGGACCCCTCCGACGATCAAGTCAGTGATGTGGAGTGGAGTGTTGAGTGAGAGAGCCCTCCCCTGCCCGTTAGGAATCAGGGGGTATTTATAAGCGGGTTTGATGTTACCTGATGTGCCATACTGCCGGTGCAGGGTCGTACCTCTGATGGCGTCTGTCGCTGTCGTGGGCGTTGCGTGGAGGGCCAAACTGCCGTAGGGTATGGGGGGTGTCAGTCAACGCCTCCCCCTATCTTGGCCGATCATGAGGGTTCTGCCGAGGGGGTCGTTTGGGTACGTTCGGTATGGGCGCGTGTCGTGTCGTTGTTAATGCTCGTTCTTGGGCAGTGTGCCGCACAAGACGTTCGTCGTGAGGGGGGGGGGGGTGTATTACGTCGAATCCGAGGTGTTATGTCAAATCAGTTTTTTACCCCTATCAATATCCTTTCTCTTAAGATATTATATAATTCTCCTAGCCTAATGAGAAAACTTTTACAAATGTAAATCATTGATGCCAAGACCACTAGCATCCTTAGGAGAAATAACAATGTCCCACAAAATTAAATAGGTACCCCTGAGTTTAGTTTCTTTTTCTTCCAAAAACTCTCTAATAAAGTAATTAATCTTATTAAGAATCGCACCCACGAAACACTAAGAGCATAAAGAAAAATAATATTAAGAATAGAGTTAATGAGCATCACATGACCAACTTAACTAAGTAAAGAGCTTTTTCTAGGAAACAAGTTTAGATTTAACATTTTGAACAATAGATTTATGAATCATGGAAGAAGCTCTATAAGAAGAGATATAACATTCAAGATACTTAAATAAAAATCTACCCTCCTTGATATAAAATCAATTATCAATTTTTCCTTTAGTATCCCAAATTAGTAGATCTTGAAAAATAGCATATTTGTGGGTATTGATTTTTAAATTAGTCATAAAATTGAAATATTTTTGAAATGGTTATCAAGATTTAGATTTGCTTAAAAACATACAAGTATATCATCGATGTACATAAAGTGGTTAAGTTTAAATGATCTTTTGAAGGAGAAGGGCATAACAATATTATCCAAGGAGTCTTGGTTAAAAGAAAAAAAATAAAAATTTAATAAATCAAGATAAATAAACACGGGGATAGGGGATCTCCTTATTGGATCCCCTTTGGTGTAGAGATACAAGTATAGATTTAACTAATAATTTTTTCTAAAAAGATTAATAAGTCTAAGCACAAGAATAATAACATTTCAGAAAAGCTTATAATGTATCTTTTCAATATCAATCTTAATAAGAACTTAGTGATCTCTCGGAATTATAAAGAGAGTGATTGATTTCTTATACAATACAAATTTTATCATGGATACTTTTATTAGGTAGAAAAGTTGATTGCTCCTTATGGATAAGGGTAGCGAGCAGAGGTTTAATGTGAGATTGGTAAAAGAAAAGGAAACGGAAGGTCAAACTCAATACTCTCAATGTTGCTAATGCCTAATAGGAAGGAAGAGATCAAGCATCATGATACATAGCCTCCACTCCCCTTATTCCAAAGGTTGGAGTAAAAACTCATAAACTCTCCTACAATGACTTTATTATCAAGAATTAATATACTATCAACTTTAATATGCCTAATTTAATTCAACTAAAATGGACAAATATAATATTATCACAATATCTCATGTTAAGCTCATCAAAATTAATCCAATGGGCCTTAGCCTATGTTCACCACTTAATATTAAGCTATTTAGTTAAGGTAAATATGTTTGTTTAGGTTTCAAGAAAACAAAGAGTAATGTGTTCATATTTAATGAGACCAAGGCTAATATATTTGGTTTTAAAGATAGACATATCCATTTGGATGTCAAAGAAAAGATCTTTCAGTTTATCAAGCTAGTATCTATTCTAGGAAGAAAGCACACCCCTTAATCTAGATATTCTATCAAACAGAACTAATATATGAGAGGACGATTGATTCACTACCATCCAACCAAAACTATGAAATAAGATACCTACACTTCTTATATTCAATCAAAAATTTTGAAACTTGAAATCATGTCCATGATTGTGACCAACCATATTAACTAGAATGGGGCATAGAAGGCTCTAGGATAATGAATCATATTAAAGGATTCAAAAGGATTTAACTAAGCGATGTTTAAAAAACTCTATCAAGATGAACTCAATCGCCACCCCACCCTCTTATGATTGTTGCACTATATAAAAAGAATGTCGACAAAACTAAGATTTATCATATTTGTAATTGAAATAAGGTTACAATATGGACACAAGAGGCAAGAAAGAATTTTTCACCTCCTTCCTTATCCTCAATTGAAGAAACATAATTGAAATCATACATAAGATACCACAAAAAAGAAACATTTCAATACTAGAAAGAGAATCCCAAACCAAATATAATCTAAAAATAAGTTAGTTGCATAAATCATCAAAATCACCCAAGACATATTATTACCAAATTGAACATCAGCATGTAAAGCTTGACTTTGACATAAGAGAACTTGAATATAAGGTGGTACAAGTTTCATATAATCAAAATACCCCTAGACACTCCATTTGCTAGTTGCAAGCTACTAGGCATTGTTGACCAAGATAGTGAACAAAATATAAGACTTAATCTTTTGGCACATAAGTCTCTTACAAAACTAGAAGATCAGATTGGTTAGAGTGTGACATATAATACAATCTATCGCTTACCACTCGCCTCCCTAACCCCATATAGTTTCAACTAAAAATATTCATGAACAAGAGGTGGGGAGGTAAGGAAGAGAAGAGTTTATAGTAGATTCACTACCATTTGGCTTCGCATGATCCTCCTTAGATGGAGTCAGGCTTCTTCACTATAAGAACCTGTGAAACCTCTTGTAGTCCTACCTTGACTAACATATTAGATATAGGAACTTCTTAAATTGGAATTGAGTATAGGTTCTCCTAATTTAGGGAAGGGAAGTGTTTGTAGCAGATTCACTATCATTTAGCTTTGCATGATCCTTCTCCTTAGGGGGAGTCTTAGCCTTGGCCAACATATTAGATATAGGAACTTTTTGAATTGGAACCGAGTATAGATTCTCCTAATTTAGGGAGATCTCCTTATCCTACATAATGAGATTAGATGAATAAGGGGTCATAACTTATATTAAAAGGTTTTGAGCCTTATCGACTAATAAAGAAAGAGTTGTTAATATGCATATCAATTAAAGGAGTCTTTCCTTCTCAACCATATGAGAATATAATGCTTGTCCTTCGTATCTCAAAACAACATCTTAATCGTTGGTATGCTCAATAGGCACCCCACCATTAATATAGTATACCTCAATCAATATATTTATATGATCAGTATTTTAGGTAGTTTATAGGATCTCTTGCCTTAGTAGCCACTTGAGGACTCACCTAGTTAGGAAATCTCTATGGCATCACCCTGTTACACCTACTAGCCTTGAACACTAGGTTCATTAGAGCACGTGAAGCCCCATCTTCATCATATAAGGCTCTATCATACACTTTTAATGTCACACTAGTCATCTCCTTTGTTTTTGATTGACGATAATGCTATCAAAGGCTCATCATTATATATAAATCTAGTAGTCAAAAACCAAGTCTTTCCTAGTAGCATTCATGGTTGTCTTTGTCTCAACCAACCCCTAGAAGGAATGATTCCCTTTTAAGGAAAGAAAGCTACATCCCCTCTTATTAGCATACAACGACAAATGAGATAGATAATCAATCATGTAATGCTTGATACAGTCATATACAAAGCATATAAAAGGAAGATTTTCATAGTACATCACATAGAAAAACTCTTCCTATCTTTACCTATCCAAATGCCCTACTAAAGAGGGGTCAAAAGATCTAATTTGATATATATCTACACATACTTTCCATGCTCCATAGTAAGAGATCTAGCATCCATCTTAAAATGACATCTCACAGAGGCCATAATGGCAAAGAGCCCCTCCTCATTCTAGTATTCCATGGAAAGACTAGATAGCCTAACTCAAATCAAAGTAGTATGGGGGGTCTCCAATTGTCTAACTTTCATTGGATAAGAAGGATGATTTCTCGCCTAATAGTCATATGCCATAATTGAAGATCCTCATCGTATTCTCTTC